AGATCTCAGCTGCTTAGGGGTGCAAGTCAGGACCACTACATGTGACAGTACGAAGTGGTGTGATTTCACGTGGAATAAGATCCCAACAGGCAGATGTTAACTCAATGAACATTAGGGATAGAGCTGCAAACATGACAGACGTGGGATTCTAATCTAAGGATAAGACCACCAACACTAAGGTCAACCAGAGGTCCAAAGGCCTCACAAGGGGCAAAAAGAACTTTGGTTAGAGGCTTAGCATGCAAGCCTGATTATCAGGAGGCCAAGAAAGATTGCTTTCTACAATGAGTAACTCCCAACAAACCATTGTTATAACTTTTATCTGCTCACAACCTTAAAATCTGATCTAGTGTGCTCAGCCTTGACTCCTTTTGCTCACATCTTGCAAAACTCACAGTCAAGACAAGTCAACAGAACTAAGCTGCAACCTGAAGCCAGAAAAGCAAGGAGCACAGCTATCAGTTCTTGTGCACCTACTATGTGCACACACACCAGGCTACCATTTCAACGTGTGTGCTCTCTAGTTCTCAAAACTCTGCAGTTTGAGTTTTATTAGTTTTGCTTTACAGATGAAGGAACTGAGGATCAGAGAAAAGTAACTTATTCAGGATCACGCAGCTGATGAGGCAGGCATTCTAACTCGGTTTCACCTACTCCAAAGCCCACAGTCTCTCTATTCTGCCAAACTCCTCCTTTAACTGGGCCTGGCCTGGCAGGTTTTGCTGACAGCCCTCCTCTGCAGCCCTCTCACTGGCCCCCCTGCTGGGTGCTTACCGAGGAGGTGCTTGATGATGGCTTGATTATGCTCCCAGAGGTTGCTGAAGGTCCCCCAGCGTGAGTGACCATCAGGCACAGGGTTGGCTTTGATCCATCCACCACAGGCATAGGTGAAGAAGTCCTGGCAGGGGTCCACCGTGGGGTCCATGGAATTCAAGATGGAGCTGGTCACTGAGACACAGGCCTGGCTTAGGCACACTGAGGGGGTTCCTGACAGGGATTAAGGATAAGAAGACAGTGAAGGGTGGGTAGGGAAGAATGCAGAAGTACAGTGCAGATGGCCTGGGGTCTTGGGGTACCATGTCCCACCCTGGCCACTAGACTCTTCCAGAGAAACGATTTTAGTAGATTGAAAATCTTCTGGCTCATAAATTAAGACTTCTGTTTAGCTCCCTAAAATCCTTTCTATGGCTTAAAAAGTACCGGAACCAAGGTGTTTCTCTTAATTAGTCCTTCCTTCTACAAATATTCATTGACTTTTGATTATTTCTTGATGTTCAGCAAATTCGTTTACTCATCATGCATTCATTTGTTCAAAAAATAATTACTGAATATCTTCCAGGTTCTTTGCTGGGTGCAGTGTGTGTGTGGAGGGAGGGGGTGAGGGATATAAAAGGCATAGTTCTTTCCCTCAAGAGCTAATAATTTATTTGGGGATATACACATTCTATAGGAAAAGTCAAAAGGCAGCAGTAGGAGAAACATCTGTCGTTCATTCTGCGAGCATAACTCAGTATATGCAATACATGTCCAGTGGGTGACGCAGACAATATGGTGCCAGGACTTAGGAAGAAGACTTTTAGGAATAGAAGGAACTACAAAAAAATCATTCCCGCTGAACACAGGCAGGAGGGTTCCCTTACTGAATCCTCAAAATCACCCCAGAACAAAACGACCCTAAGAGATCATTTTGCTAATGTGCATTTTTACATGTGAGGAAAGTGGGGCACAGACAAGATAAGTACCCTGCTCAGTGGCCAATGGGATTTGAACCCCGCTCTGTCTGCTTCAGTCCTGGCGAGGACAGACCCACACTGCCAGAAGGCAGGGTAGCCCTGCCAGTCAGGTGTCAGCTCAAGGAGGGACAGTAGTTGGTGCGGGTGGACGGTGGGGAGGGCTGCAAATCCTACAAAAGCCCCTAAAACACAATGAGCAGAGAAATCAGCTTCCTTGGAGCTGGTTCTCACAGAGCGCGGGCAGAGGCGTGAGAGTTGTCCACAGGCCAAAGGCAAGAGGAGGGGGCCAGACCCCTGCCTCAAGGTTAGTGAGCGGGGCCTCGCAAGGGAACCAAACTGTGGGCAGCCTCAGCCGTGGCCCAGCTCAAGGTGGCAAGATGACCCTGACTCTGCAGGAGATGGAGGCTGGAGATTCAGGCTGGTGACCAAGAACACAGACCCAGCCAAACCATCTGTTGATACAAGCTGTGCCAGTGACAAGAGAGGCTGTTTATTGAACGTGGCTCTGTGCCAGGCACTTCACACACATTCGTGAGCTCACTGAGGCCTCACTACGGGAGTGATACCCCATTTAAAGATGAGGAAACCGAAGCTCTGAGCGAGTGACGGACCGAGGTCACATAGCCATTTGGGAGAGCCGGGACTGAACCCAGCTTGGTTCTGCTGCAGCGACCGCAGAGAAGGGGTGTTTCAGCTTCACCTCGCCGCCTCTTTGCTGGTCATGCCAGGGGCTGCTGTGGCCCTTCTGGTGAGGTCGGCCCCCCCGCCCCATACAGGGAGGCATAAGGCAAGACAGGCAGTGTGGGCTCTGAGACTAAGGTTCAAATCCCAGCTTTCTGCTTCTGGCAGTGGGCCTTGCGCAAAAGTGACCTCATCTCTCTCAGTATCAGTTTCTCCATCTAGAACAGCAGCCCCATCTCACAGTGATGATGAAATGACCTCATGACTGGGCACGGGGCCTCAGCTCCCTTGAGCCTTAGGGTCCAGCGTTCCCAGGCCAATCTTTGGAGAACAGAAAAGAACACATGGGCTAGCAGGGGCAGTGTTCACCTCACTCAGAAATAAAATGCCAGCCAGGGCTGGGTGGCCTGTAGGCTTATTAACGTCTGATGACAAATGCGAAGTCCTGTGAGTTGACAAAGGGCTCAGAGGAGATGCATGACAGCACAAAACTCTGGGTGACTTTGAGGTAATTACCTATTTTTAAATGACTATACGACAATTAAAAATTATCGAGCCATTAGGCATAAAAATAGAGAAAGGAAATGGTAGAGAATATGCACCATTTGAAATATCTCTAGATCAGACCATCTTAAGCAGAGCTGTATGCCCCACTCCCCACTAGGGGAATGTACCAGAATCTTTATGGGGGGTGAAGGTGGGGGAAGAGAATTTCCGTTTGAATAGTTTGAAAAAGCCTATTCACTATTATGATGTAACTTCATATTTGGGAAAGGAAAAGAATACCTATTGTTTTCATACAACAAACTACAGGAAATAAAGCTTGACAAAATCTCGGCTGGTGGGAACACCGAGAAGACATAGTGTAAGGGGGTGATTCTCAGGGAGAGAGATATATCAGAGTCTCTCTGGCGGGGAGCGGGGGTGGGGTGGGGTGCAGGGAGGAGGAGGAGAGAGAGGGAGATTTGTAGTTATCATAAGGGGACTTGGGTTTAAAATAAAGTAAGAAACCAGTCCCCAGTAATTAGTCTGAGGTCTTCACTAAGCGCCTGCTCGGCTAGGCACAGAGCAAGGTCCCTAGGTGGTGCTTAGATAATAACTGCTTAGATTATTTAACTCTTTAATGGTTTGTAGATCCTTTACCAACTATTCCTGGCCCAGCAGGTACTTAATGTATATTTGATTAATTACTTGTTTGCAGGCCCCCCTCATCTAATGTCAAGGTCAATACCCAGGCTCCATCTCCTTGGGAAAACCTTCCCAGACCCTCATCCGTCTCTGGGCCCCTTGGCTGCCTAGGTGTCCGTAATCCAAAACAGACTAAGCTGTGTCATGGGCATCTCTCCCTGTCCACCTTCTCCACTAAAATGTGACCTTTAGGGGAGGGCCAGCATCTTACTTGCTTTTATATTTCCTTTGCCCAGCACTGTTCTTGGCGCCTAGCGGCTGTCCAATACATATTTGTTGACTGAGCGAATGAAAGAGCTTTGTCCCATACTTGGTTACCACCTGCAGAGGCAGAAAATATTTCTTTTCTTTAGGACGTGTATGATCGCTTGAGAAAGCAGAAATAGGGCTCAAATCTAGTTCACAGACACTCGTCTGGACAGTACCTGGCCCTGACACTAACACACTATAGAATATATTCAGTGAGAATTTATTATTTGTCTTGCTGCTGCTGTCTGCAAAACACCTACAAGTTTCTGGAAAGGAGGGTACAGCCGGAAGGTGGATAAATATGTATTTAAGTGTCCAGACATAACTCAATGGTGAGTCTTTCAGAATCCTCAGAGAATTTGCTTTGAATGGCCTGCTGTTTGCTCAGATGTGGCCAGTGCCAGTACCTGCTGCTGGGTAATGAGATCACTGTCAGTATCGGGGTGGCCACTGCTTCCCCAGCCCAGGCAGCTGATGAAACACACAGGTTGGCTCAGGGGTCACCTGATGCAGGCCCAGTTTCACCTAGAGCTCTTTTTGTTCCTTTTGGGCCCAGGCTAAGGAAACCATTCTGTGGCCTGAGAAGGATGGGCTAGAAGCAGAAGCAGGATTCCTTCCTGTGGGTCTCCTGTGGCCCCATCACTAGGAGCCACCCCTTGGGGAGTCCCTTCTGGTTTCTGGTGAAGAAACATCTTAGGAACTTCTGGGGCAGTCTTGGGGTAACACTGGCTGCTGGAGTCTTGCCTGCTCACCAGGCAAAGGGCTGGAAGCTGGGCAGATGAGGGTGGCCAGGGTCTGTACTGCCTGGGCTGAAGACGATTTAGGTAAGATTTTGCCTCATAGACAAGATGGTGGCTCCAGGACAAGAATGACTGGTAAAGAAAGGCTGTTCCCAGCTTTGTATTCTCATTACTTTGTCCATTCAATCATTTATTTATTCAATTTGCAAACTATTCACACATCTATGACGTGCAGGCGTTATCTAAGCACATATGGTTAAGAGCCTGGAAATCATTAATTAATTAATCAAATATGCATTAAGCATCTGCTGGGGCCAGACACATTTGGTAAAACATCTACAAACAATTAAACAGTCAGTTAAATAATCAAGCAATTATTTCTTAAGCACCATCTAGGTGCCTGGTGTAGACTAAGCCCTCATTAAATGTTCATAGAATGAATGTGTGCTTAATACGGGAGGGATGTAAGGATGACTCAGATGAAGTCCTGACCTCTCTCCAGGCCCCCAAATTTTTTTCTATCCCAGTCCAGCATGGCCACCCCAGGCAGGCCAGCAACTTCACAGTGGGGAGGGCCCACCGAGGCCAAGGTAGACAGTCCCACATCCTGTGAAGGTTCACAACCTCTCTGACGGGATGCGTGACCAGGCGACCAAGTCGGTGGGGCTGAACGCTAAACAAAGTGCCCACAGGCTGCTCAACCTGGTGGACCATCTGCCACATCAGAAAACTCGATGCTGGGACACAGGGGAGTGAGAGACCCTGGAATTGGCTGGATTCCCCATCCTCATTTTCACTTGCATCTGCCCTTTCCAGTCCCGTAAATGCTTACTGAACATCAAGTCTGTGTGAGGCACTCAGCTAGATACGCTCAGCCAGACACAGAGAATCAGCCTCGGTCCCCGGACAGCAGGATCAGAGGTGCCTGATCAGACCGCTTCACAAGGTAGGACAGAGAAATGCGATTACAGAGGTCTACACAAAGCCCAGCTGGATCTCAGGAGGACAGCTTTGCCGGGGACACTAACACACACCGGGGTGCACTGTGATTACAGAGGGAGGCGGAGGCTGGGTCTGAGGCCCGCCCGCCCGTGGTTGCCTGTGGCTGAACTCCAGCTTCTCCGCTCTCTCCCGCGGTAACCTCAGGCAAGTCACTTAGTCTCACTGCCTCAGTTTCCTCAGACATAACATAGGGCCAAAAGTAACCATATCTCATATTGTTGTTGTGAGGAGGAAGTGAGGTTATGTCTGTAAAGAAGTGAGGTATTTGGTTCATGGAAAGTATCAAGTAAACAGAAGCCATTATGGCTGTTTCCTTGGAACTAGGGATGGTGGATAGTGTCAGCCTGTGTGTCTCACCAACCCACACTCGAATGACAATGGTACCAGAGCAAAGGTTAAAGAAGTCCTAGTAGGCACCAGGTATGGGCTATATATACATATATCGTCTCTAATCCTCAGAGCCATGCCCAAATTGGGCACCGTTTTCCTCATTTAAAGTAGAGAAGACACAGGCTCTGGGAGATTAAGAGATTTATCCAAGGTCATACAGATGATAAGCTGCTGGGCCAGAATTTGGACTCACGTCCTTCTGACTCCACACCCTTCAGACCACCCACACCGCCCGCCTGCCATGTCTCAGGCTATCTCAGCAACCCGAGTCCTCCAGACCTAACTCTTCCTTGGCCTTCAAGGCCAGTCTGGCTTGAGCAGGGAAGCCCCCTTGCACAAGTGGACAGAGCCGAGGGCAGGAGTTGAGTCAAGCCCATGATGAAACACAGAGGCACCTACTTGTCTGATACTGGATGCCCAGAGCTGTGAAGCAGGCCACCAGCCCTGCTGCCAGAAGTGCCACCAGCACCACCAGCCGCTTCTCCACCTGGGTCCGTGCAGCCCAGCACCTCTGGCCGCTCCGGGGGCTGCGGAAGTTCACCTGCAGGGAAGAAGGCAGGAGGGGTGGGGAGGACGCAAGCCCAGGGTCCCCCCTCCCCAGGAGGAAGGGGCTCCGAGGCAGGCCCAGGCCCCGGGGAGACATCCTGCCTCAGGGGTGGTCTGCTTCCCACGGGCTGAATCCTAATCCAGGAAAGGAACCGCCACCCTGCTCTGCAGCTCAGATTTGTTCCTAAACTTTAGAGAGTCACGCAGCTCGACCCAGCCAGGCTTGTGTTTTTGTGTGTGTGTTACCCGATATGGGTAGAAGAGAAAAAAAAACAACACAGCTTTTCCCTGTTTCTTCAGTAAGGAGTTCAAAAAAAGAACAGGATGTTTGGATTTACAGGCATCCAGTGAGTGTCCAGCTGGACTCTCCTCAAAGCCCCCGCATCAATAGGCTGGGACACACAACCAAGAAGATGACACCACCACAGCTCACACGTCCCAGAAGCGTGGGTATCCCTAGCTCATTCAACCCCCACAAACCCATGAGGCCTATTATTAGTTCTCTTTTTACAAATGAGGACATGAGAGTCTAGAGAGGTGAGACCTCCTGCCTCCCATTGTACAGCTGAATGGATGGAGCTGGGAACTGAACCCAAGCCTGTTGGTTCTGGAGCCACTAGTGGGACAGAGATTTGAGTCTTAGGAGATGCCGGGGGCAACGTGATGGAGCGATGGAGAAATAGCTCCATTCAGGCAGGTCCTCAAAGGGAGGGGCGATGTCCCCAGTCTCACAGTCTAGCTAAACAGGAAGGGAGGCACAATAAGAGGAAGTGGAGGGCGTGGCAAGGCCCTCCGAGCTGAGGAGGGACATGCCAGTCAAAAGCACTCAGAGCCCTCAGCCCAGGGCAACTTGGGGCTCCCCCTGTTCCAAGAGGTACTTCCTGCAAAAGCCCAGACCACAGGACAGGAGTGGTCTCCTGAAGGAGAGGCTCAGTTCAGTGACATTGTGGCTGAGTACCAACAGCTGAGTACCAACTCAGGGCCATGCGAGAAGTACTGAGTGGAAGAGAGATGCCCTCGGTTTCAGATGCTCATAGTCCAGCAGGGAGGCAGATGTAGACACAGACTGGGCTGGGCAGGGGTTCAGTCAGGGAAGGCTTCCTGGAGGTTGAAGATGCCTACGTTAGGTCTCGAAGAATAAGAAGGAGCTGGCTAGGTGAATGGGAAGGGAAGTGGGGGCAAGGTGAAGATCCTAAGGGGCATCTGTAAGCCAGCGAAAAGCATGTGGACTTCTTGCAGTCTGGAGTGACGTGATTAAAGACACCCTTTAGAAAGGCCGAGGTAGAAGGAGCAAGGCTTGGAGGCAGAGAGACCCACAGCGAGCCAGGGGTTAGGGAGGTAGGGGAGATGCCAGGGTAGATGAGGAAACCCAGACTCTGCCCTGCAAATGCCCTACCGATAGCTGAGCAGGTGGCTGCCCCCCAGGAGCCAGGTCACCAAAGAGCCTCACACTGGCACTTGGGGATCTAAGTAAGGCTGGTCATCCTGGGAAAGAAAGGCACCGAGTGGCCTTGTGTGGTCATCGTTGGGTACCTTCTGGGCAGGAAATGACTAAAAATTGCTGCACCAGAGAAAGGGGAACACAAGAACTCTTCATGGAAGAAAAACTGAGTTTAAACCGAGAAAAGGAACTTGTGGCCTAATCATACTTTCCGTGGAGGCCCAGGAGGCTCGGTCAAGTAACGGGGGCAGGGGATGCTGCCTCCTGAAATCACTGAAGAAACTTTTAAACAACGATTCTGACCACGCTATTACCATTAAGTTAACATTTTGGGCTGGGAGGGCCTGGTACAGAGAGCCTAGAATGATGCTAACATGTTCGGAGCCCTGGAAGGTTTATAAAGTGCCTTTTCCAAGGTATCAATTTTCTCACGCAGTTTCCCTTGGGCACTGGTATTCGGAGGGTCCCAAGAATATGCTGCCTTGCCTGGGGGGCCTGACATTTATTCTCACTCTTCTTGCTGTCCTGCCCCTGGATTTGTCTGACTTTCTGGCCCTTCCTCTATCCCTCTCAGTGCCCCTCATTAAATGGCTTAGCTCACGGGGTGAGGCGGGGTGAAAGGCAAAGAGCCAGGGAGACCTCTGCCTGGTGCTGGCTCTAGGAAGCCAGGGAGCACAGCTCTCAGGCTTAGGGAAGCAGGCAAACCTCGCTTTACGTGGGCAGGGCAACGCCGTGGTGCGGGGAATCTGAGGAGGGGAAAGGAGAGAAGGAAGAAATGAAAGTGAGGCTGTGAAAGGAACACAGGGAAGGAGGAAAGGAAAAAAAGAGTAATAATGGCAGCTAGTTGGGCGCTTTCTATGTGCCTGGCATCGTGTTAATTCTATTTTGTTGCTAGATGATGCTATTCTATCTTCACAATATCCCTAAGAGTAGGTACTAGTATTAGCTACGGAAGAAACACAGGAAGTGGGGGAAGGGGAGGAGACAGCACAGTGAGAAAACGCATCTCTCTCCAGAACCCGCAGCCTCAGCCCAATGGCTGTGCTGCCCCCAAGGAGCAAAGCTGAGCTGAGCCTCATTGTTTGATGTCAAGCAAACAGATGGTGTTCACTGAAAAATTTAATTAGAATTAAGTCAGAATTAAATTAGAAATTCATAGTTTCAAGCAAAAATGGCAAAGGGAATTTAAAAACAGGGTTTTTAGCCTTCGTAATGTTTTTGCTCAACTCATACTGTCCAGCTGAGGGCCTATCGGTTTCTGGACAAGCCCTGTCTCTGAGGGAGGAAGGGATCCAGAGGCATCGCTCTGGGGCAGAAGTCACCTGGAGGCACTGTACCGAAATCAAGAGACCTCTCCAGGAGAGACTGTCCAATTCCTGGGTGTAACAGACAGGGCAGGGGCTGCAAATCAAAGCTGCTGGCGAGTCCCTTCTCTCTGAGCTCTCATTGTCCTGCCCTGACTCCTTCAGAGGCTCCAGCAAGACAGGTCACAGCGAGAGGCAGATACAAATGGTTTCTCATGTTCCTTTTGGAAATGAAGGCATGTTGCTCACTAGTTTGGGTGTCCAGTCTGCAGTGACTGGTACAACAGGAGGGTTAGTGGGGAGCAGCCCGCTCCATCTCAGGAGGGGTAACTGGGACGTGACCACTGGCCAAGGAGCAGAGCTCACACTTGGATGACAGAGTTGGGAATTACTATAAATTCTCAGCTCCTTGATGGGCTTAATATCCTATTTATTGTTGTGTGAGGCAGAGAGAGAAAAGACAGAAAGAAAAGAATGCCCTTGAAAGATCAAGGTAGAGAGGGAGACAGAGAAAGAGAGAGAGACAGAGAGAGACAGAGAGACAGAGAGAGACAGAGACAGAAAGAGAGAGACAGAGAGAGAGACAGTTGAGCTGTCCAGCCCAAGAGTTCCCAGGGTTTCCACAGCCAAGGGAACAAAGCCCTAATGAGGGATAAATATTCAGTTACAGAAGTGAGTGCCTGGCTCACCTAGGCTTACAGCAAGAACAAGTTCTGCAGGGGAGGACGGGCCACCACTGCGTGGGGCCCAGGAGACAAGCCAGCAGCAGAAAGGGTGGGGAGGAGGGCACAGCCTGCTTCGCAGATGAAGCAGGGGTTTAAGCGGGGGGTCGAGTGGGAAGGGAGAGGCTCTTGCTGAGCCACTGCCAGGTCCCCCAGCGACGTGGGCTTCATGGAGTTGCAAACAGGAGTCAGTCTAGGCAAGGATTTGGCAGGGAGCCCACCCCCCGCAGTCAAAAAGCCTGGCCACCCCATGAGGGCTGGCACAGCGACCAGGCTGCCTGCGTTGGAGTCAGCCTTTCAGAGCAGACAGACCATGACAGCTTGGTCCTATGTGGAATCCTGCCTTTGTGAGGGTGTTAGGTTGGGAAAGTTTCTTCTAGAAATTTCCATATGGCAGACTTCCAGCTGAGGCCACTGGGGCCAGCCTAGAGCAAAACTATAATGTCCTCTTGTCCTCCCCATCTCTTCCCTGAGCCCTACCTGCCCCGTTGTCCCCATGCCTGACTCTCTCTCAGTGACTGACAACAGCTTAAAGTAGTACCTGTCGTGAGGGAAAGAATTCCTTGCATCTTAACAGGAATCAAAAGTCTAGTATTGAGAAGAAGCACTTTCCACTTCTCTTTGCTTCCCAAAAGAAACGCCCAGCTGCCAAGGGCACCAGAGAAAAGGCACATGCCTGAGAAGGCAAAGGTCAGCTTTGACTTCATCAAGACCCCATGCGTACCGCTGGGCACGTGTGTTCTGTCTTTAAAATGAGGAAGCTGGATGAGGTCCCAGGTCTGACCATCTCAGACTCTAGAACAACTCTAAGGCCAAGAGGATAAGGCTCTAACAGGTGGACAGAGTCGAAAGGACCTGCTGGTTAGCAGAGAAGCCCTTTCAAAGTACTGAGTGGGACTGTCCCTGAAATTGCCCTTAAAAGACAGCCCTGTGCATGGCAGAGAAAAAAAATATGATAAAGCCATCGCTAACTATTAAATATCTCAGCTTTCCCTTTTCTTGAAAAAATGTATTTTTGAAAGTAACTGGATGAGTTTCAAAGTTTTGGTAAACAGTCATGGCCATCTGCCCCCCAGTTTAGGCTGCAGGGCTAACTTGAGCTATTTCCCTTCAAGCCACTGACATGGTGTGTGCTGGGGTGTGGGGAGGTCAGGCAGCCAGTTTGAGCACAGGCTTCCAGGAGAAAAGCTTTTATATTTAGGGCATCACAGAGATATCACGCCTGGTGAGTTTCCATGATAATCCTGATAACCAAATCCATTTTCTGTGCACTATACCAAATGCTTTCACTTATATCATCTCATTTCCATCTTTGCAACAGCTCCGAGAGGTAGATTAATAATATTAACCCCATTTTGCACCAAAAAAAAAAAAAAAAAGCTGTTCAAGTGAGTTGCTTTCAGGTCTCAGAGCCCATGAGAGACAAAGCCGGGCTCCATGTTAGGGCTATCTATCTGGCTTTAAATTCGGTGCTCAGTCCACAGTGACGAATTTTGGTGAATCGCAAAGAACTTGTGCCTAGAATATGAGATTAAAAGAAAAGAAAACCCTTTTCCTGTGGTACAGGTATAACTTTGCTCCAGCTAAATTCAACAATTCGTCAGCATATTCAGTAAAAAGGTGGCAAGTTTGGCTGAAAGATGGAAGTTTTCATTGACCAGTATCAGCGTCGATAACTTTGGAGTTCCTAGAACCATTGGGCTCCAAAATCTTGAAAAATCAAGTAGCTTATTTTTATAGCTGCCCATCAAGAGCAAGATTTGGGGGGGACTAAGTCCATTTTTAAAAGACTAAAATTAAGGGAGCAATTGTGTTTCTAGCAACCAGTTCATAGGAAATTATCCAAAAGGCTAAAAGATGGTCACCCATAATGTCATAGTTATTGGGTCTATTGTCCAACTATCACTGATTGAGTAAATATATTTTTGTATATTGGTATCATTAGGTGTTATGATTTTTAATGACAGCATGTTAACAACAAAATGCTTATGATGTGGCATTAGATGAAAAAAGCAGGATGCAACAAGTCCTTAGAGTGAACTCAACTTTGTATAAAAAAATATATATCCAAGTGGGAAAAACTAGAAGGAGTTATCTCCCAGAAGTGAGTTACTAGGTTTTTAAAAATGCTTTTTTTTTTTTATACTGGACTCTATTTTTTTTCCTACAAATGATCATGTAAAGTTTTTATATTGGAAAAGAACTCCAATGATTAAAAACAAAAATATTAGAAAGCTCTGCTCCATAGGGTAGTTGGGTTCTCGACTCCTAGAAGAACAAACATTGGCTAGTTTATATTTGCTTTGGGGAAGTTGTGGCAGCTCAAGGCAAGCCAGGCTGGGTACCCAAAGAAATGTCCCAAATCCTTGGGCAAACTTTTTGGCTTTTCCTGTATAAAAAGTGGACACTGTACTCAGTTTGGCAGTTTGGTGGAGTGGCACCAACACAGCACTCCAACCAACATAATAGCTCTGTGACCACAGGAATGTCCCTAACTCCTCTGAGACCCAGCTTCATCATCTGAAATATGGCCGCAAGGGCCCTTACCTCATAGGTCATAAAAAGAACAACAATCAGAGCAGTCCCCATATTATGCATTACATCTACTTTCTCTAACTCCCATTTTACAGATGGTTTAAAGGGATTCAGCAGCTCGCCCAAAGATCTTGAGTGGAGTCAGAATTTAAACTTGGGCCCCTGGTTTCAGGAGCCACGCTGCCTCCACTCTGCCAGGCAGCCTCGGGTGGACGAATGTACTTGGTGACCTGAAAAAGGCTATATCCATGTGGGCTGCTGTTATGACGATAACAACATGGCACATTATTTTGTTGTGAATTCCAAATGCTTTTATGCTGATATATTTAGAACCTTCTGTGGAAGATGAGACTGAAAAAGATTGCTGATTAGATGCTGTTTTGATTTGTGAAGGAAAAAGTGCCTGCCACAGAAATCTCATTTCCTGCTGGATTTAGCCTCTTAAGAAGGGTTTGCAGGGAAAAGGTTCTAGACAGACTGGGTTTGATTTCTCACTTTCACAGATTTCTAGCTCTGTGACCTAAGGTGAGTTGTCTCCCCTCTCAGAGCCTTGGTTTTGCCACAGGTAAGTGGGAAGAGTAACCTTTCCAGCTCATGGGGTGGCCCTGAAGGTTAAGTGAGTTGGTGTTGGTAGGGTGCCACACATATTCCAGTGGGCAGACTACTTGCGATCATGAGTTCTGATCTCTCTGGGCCTACTTAGCCTGGAGGAAGAACTCGATCCTTCCATTTATTAATATTCTTATTCCAGCTTCAGGGAGGCGTGCCCTAGTACAGCTGGGCCTGCAGCCTGAGTTTCCACGCACCTACACTTGCCCTCCAGACGATCTGTGGTTTGGAGTCAATTCACTGGGTGCACCCAAGATGCTCCCTAGTGCCTCTCTTGATCAGCCTGGCAGAAGCCCTCCTGGGCTGCGATGCCCTGGCTCCTTCGGGTGTCCTTGAGATTTCCAACTTGGTTCCACCCACGTGCCTGAGTTCAAACCCCACCAGGGCTGAGGTCCTGGTCAAAACGGTCTAGGCTCGGCCTCGCAGAGAGAGAAGAGCAGAAAGCAGCCAGGCTCACTGCTGTGCCACAAGGCAGGGAGGTATAGGATTCTCACAGAGGCAGACGCGGGGAGGGGAGGAACTGGTCTTACCCAGTAGGCTGAAAAGTGGCAGGGAAAGCGGGCAGAGAATGGCTTCCTCCCCTCACCCCAGAGATTCCAGTAGTTAGGGGGAAAGAGGAAGAATAGGATTCACCCTACCAGATAGGGTAACCAACCACCCAGTGTGCCCAGGACTGAGGGGGGTACCAGGGATGCAGGGCTTTTGTGCTAAAACTGGATAGTTTTAGATTCTGCCAGTAATGTGCTGTGTGACCCAGGGCAAGTCCCTCAGTGCTCAGGACCTGCCTCTTCTGTGAAAGGGAATTGGGCCAGTTCAGCTCTGGAGGAGTGGGGAGGGTGTGTGCTTCAACTCTGCCACCTGGGCTGTAGCCCGAGGAGCAGGTGGTCAGGAGGATTTGGGCACCGGCAGAGCTGTTGAGGGGAGGGGCATCCCCGGGGAGTACTTCTGCCCCATTAAAGCTTTTATCCCCCACCCCATGCAGCCCAGTGCTGCCCAGAGCTGCCGGCTGGCACGGACCCCTCCCGGGCAGGCAGGAAGGGGGCGGGGGCAGCACCGGCGCGCATGCCTGGCTCCCTCGGGCTGGGGTCTCGTAAAGAGCCCGGGCTCCTACCTGCAGACCATTTGGGTAGCCGTCGCCCTCGGAGAGCGAGTCCACCAGGTCCTCCTCGTCCAGCGTGGCACGCTTGTAGGTCGACATCTGCAAGGCCAAGTGTAGCACGGACTCCCTCAGTGTTTCCATGGCTCTCGCGCCCGAATGGGGAGAATGGGGAAGCGGCCAGGGCGCCGCCGCCACCCCCCACCACTGCCGCCGCGCCGCGCCCCGCCCGGGACACCGAGACCGGCCCACCCACCGGCCCGCTGTGGGGGCGGGGGTCCCGCCTCCCCCCCATCCCCCGCTCCCCCTGCGCTTATGCAACGCCGCCTCACCCCCAACGCCGACAGCGCTGCGGCCACCTTCTGCGGCGGCCGCACGCTCCGCATGTAGCGCCCCGCGACGCCTAGCCGGGTCCCCACCGTCGCTGCCGTCGCCGCTGCACGCCCTGCTGATGGGGGCGGACCGGGCTGCGGGCCGGGCGGCATCGCACCACCTTCGCGGGCGTGGCCTGATAAGCGCACGTCTCGGTTCCCTCCCTGGCCCCATCGGGAGACCCCCCCCCACCAAGGCCCCAGAGCCCCGGGGGGGAAGGAGGCCTCCCACAGCCAGCGGCAACCTCTCCAAGAAAACTTAAGTCCCCCTCAGTCACCCCCAGTAGCAGATACCAAGAGTCAGGGGAAGTTCCTCCCACCACCGGCCCTTAGGTGCATCAAGGCGGTCCCCATACCCCCCATCTGAGCTACAAAGATTACAGGGGGTGGGCGGGGGTGGGGGAAGACGCAGAATTAAAAAGGCAAGTGTCTCCCCTCTCATTTCCCCCTTCCTCTAGCTGAGGGTTCTTTAAGCCAGAGTTCATGAATGCTATCAGAAAGTTCCAGAGAACGCTCCTGACCGAGAATGAAAAAATGGTGTGTGTGCATTTGGGTGGCTGGAAGGGAATCCGACGCTTGCCTCCGGGCTCCCCACAAAACGTTATGAACCCCTGGCTTCAGCTTCAAGGCTAGTCAAAAACCAGATGCCACTTCCTTCTCAGGAGTCAAGAGCCTCCAGCAGGTGTTCCCTCCCCAGCCCCTGAGGCCTCTGAGGGGCCCTGTGACCTAGGCTGCAAAAACGGGCTGGCTCCGATGTGGGGTGCCCCGGTACGGACACTGGACACCCAGCACTCTCTCTTCCACCAACGACCCTAACTCAGCAGCTCCCCTTCCATTTCTAGGGAGACCTGGAATCTCTCGCATTTATACATTTTTTTCAGCTTTCCAAAGTGTACTTTACTCACTCCCATATTTGATTCTCATGACACACACGTGTGAAGCAACAGGCTTAGAGGGGCTACCGTGACTTTCCAGGGTCACAACCACAGTGACAACTCTTGGCTTCTATTCCTGCCCTCTCACAGTCCTCTCAGCAGCCAGAACGAGCCTTTAAAAAGGAAATTCTAATCTTGTTACTCTCTTGCTTAAAACTCTACAGGGACAGTCCCTTTACCAGTTCCCCATGGCCCCTGCTCCTTACCTCATTCTCGTAGACCCTGATTTGCTTGGCCCCTAGATTCTCCAAGTTTCTCCTCCCTACCCGTAACCTTTATAGAATAGTTCCTTCTGTCTGGAACATTCTTTCTTCATCCCTACTCCTCCCATGGCTGGCTCCTGCTTCAGATCTCAGCTAAAATGTCCCCTCCTCAAATGTCTGGACTGCCCTAAGTAGCCCTTCGAATTCTCCATTACAGCACCCCGTTTTTCCCCTTTATAGCATTTATTACAATCTGTTATTATTATTACTCTTTTATTTTTTTCGTTTACCTCCCTCTCCCTCTTCAAAATTGCGAGCTTTATAGGGGCTGGTACCTTGTCTGGCACAGAGAATTCCCATCACCTGGCATACTGTAGGTGCTCAATAGATAGTTAAAATAAATGGTGGAACAGTGGAGAAGTGACATTTACCTTGGGGCAGTGCCTTTAAATCCTTCTGCATCTAATTTTGCAATGCCCAAGGACACAGGTGTAAGGGGCACAGGTCCCGGGGGAGGCAGAGTACTATGGCTAGAATTTTAATTCTGGAGTCTTCTGCCTCACTCTCACTGGGTGGAGGAGTTCCCATCATCCAGCCCAGAGAGAAAGAGCTCCCAGGCTTCTTCACTTCACGCTGGGTTACAGCTGGGCTTCTTCTAAAACGAAGACAGTTACACTAATAGGTGTCAACCACCTAAGGAAAAGACCCTTGAAAAAGAAGTTCAGTTCACCGAGTGTTTCCCCAGCTCGGCACAGCAGGTACTATTTCCTGGGCACCTAGGAGTATGAGGTATTTGTCAGTTCTTTTATACCCATCATCTCACTTAAGCCTCTCACGCACCTTCTCTCTGAAGCGGGTGCCCCTTTCACAGAGCCTGAAACTGAGGCTCAGTGAAGTAACTTGCCCAGGTACAGTGAAGAAGCGGCTCTTCCTCTTTCGTCTCTTTTCAGAGCTCAGCCCTTCTTGGAAGATCCATTGACCACCTTCCTGACTCCAGGTGGAGTCTGGTTCCCTGCTGCGTCCCCCCCTCACGCTTCCTTCTATGGAAGCACACAGCACTCCAGGAGGAGAACCTTGAAGGCAGGGGCTGGGTCTCATCACGTAGGAAGCCCATCCCAGGGGCGGGGCCATCCATCCCACTGCAGCCAATCTGTGGACGGATGACAGGAGGAGAGTGGCTCACATACCCCACTGCAAGCAGAAATCCCTTGAGATGCAGAGCTTTTCTTTTTCATCACACAAAAGATGAGGGGCCTTAAAGCGAAACTGAACCCACCTCAGGCGTGGGAATGGCTTAGCCGGCTCTGCTACAGTAGGCCCCAGTAGGTAAGTGACATTCCAAGGACAATGGCAGCCCTATCTTTGTACCCGCCCAGAGCCAGGGTGGGGCCTTTCATTCACTGTCTTGTTGGATCCCCACACCTACCTAGCGCCTCAGCCTCAGCAGGTATCGCTTCCGTTTTACAGGTGAAGCAGAAGAAGCAGAGAGGGGTGGAGATACGAAACGTGTCTCTCCTGACCCCATGCTGCCCTGTGGGGTGGCAATCAGCACTTCCACTTTACAGATGAGAAGACTGAAGATTAGACAGGAGGGAGGACTTGTCCTCCTTGCCTATCCCAAGTCACCTGGCTAGAGAGTAAAGGAGCCAGAATATGACTCCTTGCATACCGATAGGATGCTGCCACCAGAGAACCCCAGCTACACAGCTAGTAAGTGGCAGAGCTGGGCCCAGAACCTGGGTCCTGACTCCCGGTCCCATGCTCATTGAGGAAGGGGGATCTGCTTTTACAGGGAGGAACCCCACGGAGGTTCCTCAGGGACACTGAGCTGGCAGGGCGGCCAGAACTTGATCTAATTGCCTCATTTGTGACCGTAGGTGCCACACCTGGCTGCAAGCTTCAGGGAAAGGGGAACCGCTGCTTGGTGGGGAGCCTCTGCCGTGAAATACTCGTTCCTCTTGCACCCCGCCCCACCCTGGGCCTGGTGTTCATGAGAAGGCCTTGAAGACCAACAGAGGAAGGACCATGGCTCGTCTCCCAGTTACACAGAAAAGGTGATGAAAGTCAAATGAGGATGTGATGGTGCCAGTTCTGGAAACTCCACCCTGTGGAAATCAAAGGCCTGGAGTGAACAGAAATGAGAAATATAAACCCTCACGTGGCTCTGACGACAAAGGCTTCTGGCCTAGTGGCACCTGGGCATGATCCTATTTGTCTCAATTGCATTAGTCACTCAGATGTCTCTTGTGGTTGGTTTGCCCAAGGCAGGGGATCTTCAAAGAATTTTGGAGCATGTCAGAGGCAGGAAAAAGCAGCCCCTGAGTGAAATTCACAGGCCTGGGCTTCCTTGGCCACACCCTCCACTCTGTTTTTATCATAGATTTCTAAGCTTCAGCTCCTTATGGATGCAGCTCTTTATGGCCAATGGTTTTGTCAATTCCTGCCTCTCTAGTGCCAGTAATTAGCTGGGATCTGTTAAATCCTATGTGTTGTTTCATGTTATATGTTAATTAAATACTTACATTTAACAGACACAATAATATAGTAGGTAAAAGCTCTACATCTAAACCTCAGTTCAGATCCCCACTGTCACTTCCTAGCTGTATGACCTTGGGCGAGTGACTCAGCCTCTCTGTGCCTCGGTTGTCTCATCTATAAAATAAAGATGATAATAACAGTACCTCCTTCATAGGACTGTTATAATACTTACGTGAGTTAATATAGATAAAGTGCTGAGCACACAGTGAGTGCCCACTAAGTGTTAGCAGTTATTACTTGTATAATCGTTACTGATAAAACACAGGCTCATAACTTTCAGTTGATCCCCACTGTCTAAAGAAGAAAATCTAAACTCCTTAGCTTGGCATTCAAGGACTCTCCCTTCTGGCTTAAACCCTCCACGTACTCATCAGGTGTGTGGTCATCACCCTGGCCCCAGATCTATCTCTGTAGGTGTTGAGCACTCAACAGGAGCTCACCTAGTCCTCGATGCTTGTCAGGCTCTGTGCTGCCAGCTGAGGGGGCAGCCCTGCATAGGACTCAGTCCCCACCCTCAAGGAACCTGCCCCTGATATCCCCTCTCAAGACTGTGCACCCTCCACCTCAGCTACTGCTTTCTGTCTCTGACCTACCTCCTATTCCATGAAGCCCTCCTCCCCTCCCTAGTCAGAAGGAATGATGCCCTTCTTCCTGGAGGGCCCCCATGTAGCACCTGTGTTACATTCAGGCTTTCGTCTAGGCATCTTTATCCCTGGGATGGAGAAGACCTAGGGGTGGGCAACAACCATCTTATTACCAACTCCATCCATGGTGCCCAGCACAGAACCTGGTACATAGGCAACTGGTTAATTTGTATCCCAGATTTTGGCTAAGGCATAGGCATCCGTGATTCTACAAAGAAATAGTAGAGTTCAGTTGCTTGACGACAATCAAGTAACATTCAAATAGGGCAACTGTGGTCAATGGGCAAAATGGTAAAAATACGGTCATCACTCCTGAAGATGACATCACGTGACATCTATTTCTACTATTACATTATCCATTATATTACTCGGTGTCTTCTTCCATGATTAATTTCTTTTGAAATTTACCAC